AAGATTCTTTTTATTTCAAACCATTAAATATATTTACCTTTAGCCAATCTCTAGTTGGTATTTAAGTTGTTCTTTATAGGGTCAGCTTCCGCTCTCCTTTAGCAATGAAGAAGCTATATCTTTTGTGTGTTAAACAAAAAATCAGATATATCCTAAAAAAAAGAATTCAATTAGCACAATGCAAGGATTGGTATTAAAATTAGACAAACCTTTGGCATAATTTGCAGGACTTCCTTTGTTATTGAATTACACAGCCAGTTTGATTAAGGAAAAAAATTATTTTTTATCTAAATATTTGTCTTGTCATGATTTTTCTATTTGTAACATTACTGTGCACGAGCATGAAAGTTGGGTTGATGATGAGCACTACTTGAAAGAAGTAGCTACGCATGAATTACTGATCTGTCCTTGATACTTTGCAGGAGTCATAATGAATGATGAGACAGTGTATCAATTATGTAAACAAGCTGTTTCTCAGGTAATTCTGAATGGATGTATTGCACAATTCACCATTTGGATCAATATGAAGTACTTCTATTTGAGTTTTTTGAAGATTTGAGGGCCAATCCCGAGGTTTCAGAAAACTCATTTGGTCCCCTTCCCTCTTATTCCCTGATGCATATCTTTTTCAATCCTGAGATTGATGATTTCAGTCCTCACAAAAACATATGAACTCTGATTTTAAGACTTATATCAAGCTGGGGTAAATGGTGTTGCGCTCTTTATGAATTGAGCCATTTATACTGTTTATGATGTCACTTTACCAACAGGCCCGGGCTGGAGCAGATGTTGTTAGTCCAAGTGACATGATGGATGGGCGTGTAGGAGCAATGAGGAAAGCTCTTGATGCAGAAGGATTTCAGCATGTTTCAATCATGTCCTATACGGCAAAGTAATTCAAAGGGTTGATTTCTCTTTTAATTAATTTGTTTATTTATTTTTACACACACACACACATTACCTCTTTTCCTTGTGCTATGGGTGAAATTTCATTTTTCTATATAACTCGTGTAAGTGTGGAGATATATAGCTATAACTCACCAATTACTAATGCAAGCTTTTAAACTAGAGACCAACCATGAGTTTGCAATCTTGTTCAGAAAGCTTTTATGATTTATATAGAAAAAGGAATAAATGGAGGGAACTTCCCCCTTCTCACTTTCCAATTTCCAAATGTTTAAAACCTCCTATGTTATGCAACTATATACTTTCTTCACGTACCACATGTTGGCATTTCCTGTTGCTTTATCCTGTGATCTATGTCCAATTCTGGCCTGTTTCATATCAACTGTATGATATAATGCAAATGGTTAGTGTTTTTTATGTTCTAATCCCTCATATTTCTACACAGATATGCCAGTTCATTTTATGGACCATTTCGAGAGGCACTGGACTCAAACCCACGCTTTGGAGACAAAAAGACGTATAGGGTTTTTTTTGTTTCTTTGAAATGTGGCAAATTTTATAAACATGCAATTTTGGTGCTGACTTTTGGATATTGTTTGGCATGGTGAATGAAAGTTATCAGATGAACCCAGCAAATTACAGAGAGGCTCTGGTTGAGGCCCATGAAGACGAGTCTGAAGGAGCTGATATCCTTCTGGTTGGCATTGCTTTCTTTGGAACTTTGAAATGTATTCTATTAATGGGGAACATTCTGTCATGCTGAAGCTGCTTCTGCTTGTTTCACAGGTGAAACCTGGTCTTCCTTATTTGGATATTATAAGGCTTCTCAGAGATAAATCTCCTCTGCCAATTGCTGCATATCAGGTATGGTCCGTAACTATATGGATATTATGGTCTGGCAGAAGACATTTTCAGTTTTGACTGAAAATATTTCCCTCTAACCTATATGACATAGCCCATGATACTATCTGCCCCTGCATACCTGTAAAAACTAAAATTTTGATCAGCAGCTGGATTTTCATGCCACTAGCCTTCATCAAAAATATATTTTTTGGTTAACGGTGGAATTAGTGTTGCCAGTGTAGCCAGATTCCCATATTGCTGGTTGTCCCTCAACTACAACTTCGCTTTAGTGCCCCTCCTTGCCCCCTCTGAACTTTTTACATATTCTTCATAATGATTTTTTTTCTCTTAATTTATGAGTGCAGGTTTCTGGTGAATACTCAATGATTAAGGCTGGTGGGGTTCTCAAAATGATTGATGAAGAAAAAGTTATGATGGAGTCCTTGATGTGTCTTCGACGGGCTGGCGCTGACATTATCCTAACATATTTCGCTCTACAAGCTGCAAGATGTTTGTGTGGTGAGAAGAGGTGAGCTTATCCTACAAATGAGGCATTGTTAGTTGTGGAAAACCTTTAGAGGGAACTTTCTTGTACTCTTTCTGTAATTATGTGGCATTAGCATAAGGTTGGAATCTGAATGGACGTGCTTAGCACACCCATCTTTTTAGCCTGCTGTTGTCCTCGTCAAAAAGCTGGAACGTGTTTTGGTATGTTTAAATAAAATGTATGCCTTTCTATGTGAATAAGCACAGCAGAAATGTAGGATTGTCATGCACAGCATTTTCAGTAGTTCAGGGGAACCGCGCATCGTCAATGACCATGACAAATCCACATATGGGGCTTATTGATGAACTTATTTATGTGTTTATGGAGTGACATACACAGGAGGACAACTAACTAATGTGTGTTTTATATGTGATTTTATTGGCTGAGTTTTGTTCTCTACTGATTTGACTGGGTCTGGTCTATATGCCTAGATGCAACGGGGATTCGGTCTGACTGGATATCCCTCCTCCTTTGCCCAGTCACTCAGGTTCCTCGAAGTTATATATACTTGTCTTGTGGCATGTTCTTAAAATCTAGGCGGGGTATCATTGAAGTTATATTTACTTGTATATTGTCACATCGTTTAGTGAGACCTGACCGGGTTGCAGATGGTCAGCTTCTGAACGAGTTGGACTAAGGTGGGATTAATTTGAACCGCTGGGTCAAACAAGTAGGCAAAGGTGAGGGGCCATTGGGGGGATGGGATTTATGATGTTACATTGGTGACCCGTGCTGCTCCATGGTTGGGTCAAAGAAATTTTAGCGCACAAAAGGGATGTTTAAGACGATGACAATATTTATAAAGAAGTAAAAAAAACATGATACTCGAGTCAAAGAAATTTTAGCACACATAAGGGATGTTTAAGATGATGAGAATATTTATAACGTGATACTCGAGTCATTAATTTAACTGTATTTAATAATTTGATTTAAATTATAAGCAATGATAGCATATAAGTTATAAAAAATATATGGTAACAAACAACCAAATATAATATACCCACAAGAAAAGGGTGGGGCTTAAAGGAATGATGGCAACATGCTCGAACATTGCCCATTATAAAAAAAAAAAAGCTTGTTAATATAGTTTAAACTTGATTGTAAAATTTAGAGTAACCTTGGAAAAACAAATTGAGCCAAACAAAATAAAGTGAGCACCTACTTAAATTTAATAAATTAATTTTATTTAATTCAAGAATAAAATTTATTTTAAAAATAAACTTAATAGATAAAAAGGCATGAGGTAACCCAATTAAATAAAAAAAAAATGAAAAGATAAAATGAAGAAAAAAAAAACTAAAGCAATTTAAGGCAAAGTTCATAAAGCTAGGTTAATTTATAAAGTTTGTAACTTGTAAAATCTTAAACATGTACTTAACCAAGCTTAAATCCAAACCAATTAAATGCTAAATAATTAAATTTGGTAAAAATATACCACTTTTGAAAATCTTGCAAAGCAAAACGAAGAAAAAAGAGAGAGAATGAAATTATAAGGAAAAGATTTACGAATGGTGGAATCCAAAAAGAAATGCAACTTTAAAATTTACTTTAGACTACAAAAATAACAATAAAAAAATATAGATAAAATTAGACAAAGTCAAAAAAAAATAAATGAGGATGAAATTGAAGAAAAACCTAATTCAATGAATTGTTTTGAAAAAAGTTATAACCTAAATAACAAGGACTAAATAAAATAAATAGAAATTTAGGGGTTGGCTTGGAAAATTGAGTGGTAGGGCACAAACATCTAGAAAAAAAGTAAAAGAAAAAAGAAAAAGAAATAGCCGCCAATAATAAATCAAACCTCCTATTAGTGCAAGTTCAAATAACCAAGTAAAAGATGTTAAGATGAAGTTGAAGTCACACTAAGATGAAGTTGAAGTCACACCAAAATAGTTTTTATGATTATTAGAATCAACTGAACAGGTCTTTTAAAAATGACGAAGGAGCTTATATATATTAGCCTTTTATTTAATTCTTTTTAAATTATTAAAATAATCATATAACCCCACCCAAAATAATTAATTACAAAAAAAACACTAGCAATAAAATGACACAAATACTCTTTAATTTAAAAGTTAAATTATTTAACACTGAAAACATCAAAATCTTTTTACTATGCAACAATATTTAAAATAAGAAAAAGACCCTCCATTTGCCTATTAGTTCTTTTTATTTCAAGGATAAAAATTTTAATTTATTGTATATTTTTTTATTAAAGGTACAAATTAACCTGGAGTAGGAGTTCAAAATTAATTTCTTTTAAGGGCATTATTGTAAATTTAATATTCAATCCAAAGACAAAATACATGTCCCGCCTCCAATCAATTTAATTATCCCAAGACATATTATTTTACCCTTAAACACATGACAAAGAGCTGTTTATTTTTAAGGTCAAGAAGGAAAAAACACTTTTCTCGTCCGTGGTAGGTGAACACTATTTTCTCCATCTCTTTTAGTTTTAGTTTTTTTTTAATTTCTTCCCTCTTTTTTTAATTTAAATGATTTCCGCGGGTCAAGAACTGGGCTGGGAAAAACATCTCTTCAATCTTATAGAACTTCTCATCCCATCTTAATGGAATTTTAAATTTATCAAAACCCTGAAGTTGTACTTTTCGAATTCAAAGCATTAGACATTACAAGTTTCTAATACATAGATCACAGGGTTAAGGATATTTACTCTAATTGGCAGGACCTTGCAATCAAATTATGAATAATTTTCTGCTTAAATTATATAATAATTTTTTGTAAGCGAAAAAAGATACCTGTAATACCAATGCTTTGAACAGAACTAAAAGCGAATTAACTATAGCTTGAAAGAGTTCAAACAGAGTTACTGCTTACAACCTCATCCATGAGTATGGATTCTCCCTTGATCCTTTACACTGGCGAAGGGAAATCAATCCCTTCTATCGCCCCCCTCCCCTACCCCATGTATGCCACAAATAATAAAGCAGGAATCGCATGGCAAGTTACCGCATTATCTTGCTCTGAGAGATTCAATTATTGCCTAGCTGCATAAGCTAGGGCTTATTACTTCATTTCAACCATGCTCATTGAGATATCTTTCAGCAATAGCTGCATGTGTTGCAGCACCTATGGGGAGAACATCTTCATCTATCATGAAATATGGTGAATGGCCTGTGTGTATTGAACCCAATGTCTCGTTCCTCACGCCTATGTAATAGAAAGCTGCAGGGACCACTTGTGTGTAGAACGAGAAGTCCTCGGCACCCATCATCGGGGGTACCACCCTGAAGTTTGTTGGACCCAACAAATCAGTGGCCACCTTTCTCACATGCTCGTACATATGATCATCATTCACTGTTGGGGGATAGATCGTGGACTCCTTTTCAAAGAAGTCTACTGTTGCTGAGCATCTGAAAACAGAAGCCTGTTCAACAATCACCTGTTTCATACGGACTCAAAAACTGTTAGATGATCAACTATTCACATTAGACAAGTACTCAGCAAAGAGTGGCCTATAACTATAAAGTATGAAGCCTCCTTGAGGCTAGTGTGGCTGGAGACATGCGTTTATGGTCCCCACTTGTAAGTCGTAAGCCACAGAACAAGGTGTTTCCTTTTCAGGCTTCGACAAGAAAGGTAGGAGAATATGGAAGGTGGGTTATTAATTACCTAAACAGAAGGTCATTCAGGCCCGGATCGATAGCTAGCCAGCAGGCCAGCGATCATGCGATGATTTAAGTCATGATAGCCTAAAGTATATATTAATTCAATTTAATACATGAATCGAATTATAAAATGGGAATCAGAACAAACCTCTTTGATTCTTTGAAGAAGCTGGTAAAAACTTGTGTTGGAGTATGCCCTGAAAGTGCCACCGAGTACAACGGTTTCTGGAATCATGTCCAGATTATTGCCTCCGTCCATTGTGGTGACAGACACTACCTGCATTGAGCAATTCCGAGTTCTAGAAATTACAATTCTGAAGAATGCAAACAGTTTTGGAAAGCTAAGCTTTTTTTGAACATGGATACCTGAGAGTCCAAGGGATTTGTTTCACGAGACACAATGCCCTGTAAGCTGATTACAGCTGCAGAGGCAGCCAAAATGGGATCAACAGAGTGGTGAGGGCTACCAGCACGGCCCTTTTTGCCACTAATCACTGCTCTGAAGAAGCCACATCCAGCAAGCAAAGCACCAGGCCTTGAACCGATGATAGCAGTGGGATGTTCATGGGATACATGAACTGCAAATATAGCTTCCACGTCATCGAGAGCCCCATCTGCTATCATCCGTTTTGCTCCATTCCCAGCTTCCTCTGCTGGCTGAAAGAGCAGTATTACAGTTCCCTGTAATTGCAGCACCGAAACTAGCAAGTTTAGATATCCACCGTGGTATCATCAAAACATGAATAAAAATCTTCTGTTTTTAAGTATAATTTTGAGAAAGCTGTACAGACTATAGAGTTCCCATCAAGATAGAGTCCCGGGCATGGAAGATGATCATCATTTTCCGTTGATTTCATTACGCGACTCGAGGTGATAAAAGCAGAATTAGCTTACACGTCTATGTCAACCTGTTGAATTTTTTGTTCAATTATGACCTGGTTTTATAAAATCACTAGTCCTTTAGGAACATCAAATATCCAATTAAGTTACTTCGGAGTATAAAAATCATTAGTGTTTGAAATTAACCCAAACTAATCACTTCATTTAAAACCAAGGAAGTATAATAAACCTAATTTCATTTCACTATTGAATAGTCTAGACAATAACATTCTCTTCAAGGGATCAAATCTTTAAGCATTTCGCTTGGCTTATATGGTTTATTTCTTACAGAAAGAGTGACAATGGACAGAAGTTTGTTTCTTCGGAACATTATTTCTTTAATGCTACCTTTCCATATACTTTAGGCATTTAAAAATGCCATCGTGGAAAACTAACTTCCTGGCTAATTCATTTCTTTAAGCTAAAGATTCTGGGCTTCAAATCCGCTCCCATGTAGGACACAGTAAGAAATAAATTTGCAACATTAACCCCAACAAAAAAAAAAAAAAATTTAAATGAAGAGATTTACTGTGCAGCAACAACTTTACTAAGCTACTATGCATATCAAAATCTTAGGTGTCTTGTCCATGCAGGTAACAAATCAAGTAACAATATGAGTTTACAAGGATAAAATCTAACGTAGTAAAGATCTCAAAAGTCATCACCAGCGCTTCTTCTAAACAAATATTGTCCACAGAATGTGACATCCCACTAAAAAGTGGTAAAATGCTTTTGGCTTCCAAATTCCAACCCAATTACCCGTACTTAAAAAAAGCAAATGAGAGCAGAAGAAAGTAGTGTGCCCATGTATGATTTGAATACTCAGGATGCATGACTTTCACATTACGGGCAGTTGGTTTTCTCATATGTCAAACTGATTAAGACAAAAGCATGAGCGAGGAATCCTAGAAAAGAAAGAAAACACACGTTTTGATTACACGAGATGCCCAGAAATTTAAACTACCTCTGACTCACTTTAAACTGGAGAGGAAGTTGTGGTGATTTTGTCTTCTGTATAGCCATCAATTTTCAATAAAGAGTTTGATGTACAAGCAAATTTTCAAAACAAATACATCTAGCAGCTACGCTTTTCATGTAAATCTAATCATTTAGAATCTAAAAAATTCATATTTTAACACTCAAATGATGATATATCAGATTGTATGTAAATTTAGTGAGAAGATTCTGTCTGTAAATTATTTTCCATTTTTTTATATGAAGAATGATTTGAAAAAAAATACTAAATTCACGTACAAACAGATGTATAAACTATTAAATGATTAAGTATCGTGCCAAAAAAAAATGATCGCTGTATGTGTGTAGCATTACTCATAACGAAGACGTAACTGCGCGGTGGGTTTGAGAATTTCGTGCCTGCAACAACGATACGGATATGGGAAAGGGTAATTAAAGATTTCAGATGATGCTTAGAGTGCGATGGAATAGACCACAGATTCATCGTGCCCAAAAACTGAAGAGTGGAGACAGGTAAGCAGTTGATGAAAATAGCAAGGAGAAAGTGATAAAATAAAAAAAGCTATTCGGCATTAATGGCTAAGAGAAAGTGACCCAACACCATCCTCCCCTGCCCATACTTTTTGGTAGAGACCAATTCAATGCTATCCGCTCAAAATGAGGTCCAACAGAAATTGTTCACGGATCCATGGCATTCTACTCTTGTTGCCTGTTTCCATAGCATCATCATGCTCTGCTCCTTGTACACAACAAACTTCACTCTCTCCAGAGACCCAACATTCTCCTTAAATTCACGATTCCCGACAATTTCTTATTGAAATTGAAAACGGTAACTAGAACCATGCCTATTACGATTTATTTAAGACTTTTATAATATAAAAAAAAACAAACCTGCAAGAGATGTTCGCGGCTCTTCAAAATCTTGGCAGCACCCACCAGCATGGCGACATGAGCATCATGCCCACAAGCATGCATTTTGCCGGCTACCTTGCTTTTATGCTCCCATTCTACAGCTTCCTAGAACAAACAACCCCAAGATTTAGGTAGTTCTTTTTTAAGCTAGGCTAGCCAATTTATTACCATGTGACACCGGAAAGCCTAAAGTGACTCCCTCGTCCCATATAGAGACATTAATATTAATAATTGCCCCAATGCAAAACAGATCAAGTATTTTTTGTCAGTATACTCTGATAACTTTCACATTAAAATTTGAATGTTCGTATGGTTTGTCTGTCTTATCACCGATATTAGCCTGACACTTGCAAGACAGGCTCAAATAATCACACTAGTTCTGATTTTAATCTGACACGTGTTAATAAATGTTAATATATTCATAATGAGGTTATCTTCCATGTCAGTACAAATAAATAAATAATATCCGAGCACAAATTCTCATTTCACATTATTTTACTTCTTTTCCTCTCTAGTTTTATTAAGAAAAAAGAAATTAGTTTAGATCAAGGGCTTGATAAAAACAAGCAGGAAGCTACAAATCCCAACCACAAAAAATTATTTAAATCAGACATTTTTATGCTGCTAATTCAAGTCTAAAATACAAAAGAAGAAAACAGATAACTAATTTCCAGTTTTAATTTCTATTTTTTTGAAAAACAAAAATATAAAAAGGGAACCTCGCAAAAAGCTGGTTTTCTATGAAGCCTCTGAGTTCAAAGTCATCATTAATTATCAAGTACACTAACACCATCGTCCCGAACAATACACGTGCATACATACAAAAACGCACAAAAACAAAAAAAATCGGTACTAGCTACCTGAATTGGGAGGGCATCCATATCAGCTCGAACAGCCACAAAAGGAGGCCCACCGGTGCCGATCCAAGCCCGAATACCCGTTTTGGCTAAAGGATACCTGTATTCAATCCCCATCTTATCCAACTCATATCTAACTAACTCACTTGTTTTGACTTCTTCAAAAGCAAGCTCTGGATTCTCGTGAATCTTCCTCCTCACGATCTTTAACCAAGTAACCGTATCTGGCCGCCGTGCCAGTGCTAAAACAGCCTCTGAGCAGGCTTTGGTCCACACCTCACAGCCGGTTGACGTCGGTGCTTTTCTCTCCGTGGATTTTGATTGGTTTTTTGTCTTGGAATTCAAGGAATTACCAATGGTACCATCAAAAAACGAAAATGAATAGTCAATGTTATTTGTACTTGTGCTTCTTGTTTTTGAAGAAGAAGATAAGACGATAGGGTTAGTAAAGATTAAAAGCAAGAGAAAGAATACTGAGAGATTTTTTAGGGAATTCATTATTTTCTTGAAAACAGAGAGAGAGAGAGAGGGGGAGAGGGAGAGGGAGGGAGACAGGGGAAGTTGCAGGCGGGGAATTGGAGTCGAGACTCGAGGGAGGGGTAATGGAGAGAGGAATGTTTTGAAGGGTATTGAAGCACGTGGGAATAAAGGAAGGAGGAAATACTACACGTGAGAGAATATGTAAAGAAAAATAGGTCGATGAATGGCGTCGAATCGTGCAGTCGGGTCCCACCACTTCATGAGCTAGAAAAGGACGTATTGTTTTTATCCTGAGTAAATTTTGGACTCCCATCTCATCTCTTGTATACGGTAGTTAATTATTAATTAAATTTATTATAGTTTAATATAATTATTAAGCCTTTTAGAGGTTGACTTAAAAAGTTTATGACCACGATTATGATTAGGTTTCGAGTTAGAACTAAAAAGATATTAGCTTTGTAGAACTTTATTAACTCGATTTGATTTTTTATAATTTAATTAATTATTTTAAATTCTTATAAAATTGGTCGAGTTAAATCTTAAAAAATTAAAAATAAATGAAATGATATTATTTGACTAAGATAATTTATCTGACTGAACTCAATGATCATGACTTTTTTCTAAATTAAGTCTCCAAAATGAGTTTTGATAATTATATATTTTAGTTACTTTTTAATATATAGATGCAATTTGCTCCTTTTTTGGGGAACTGTGCCTTGGGTTCTGGAATGAGATTTCCCATGGATAATTAAATCTATCATTCCACAGAGAAATAAATATATCATGTACAATTACCACCAACAGCTAAAGCTGTCTAACCACAATTTTAATATTAAAAAAAGGGAAAAAAAAAAAAGATTGCTTTTGAAAGCATGTTGTAAACGTTGTATATTTTATCTTTCAAAGTATTTATTATTTAAAAATATATTAAAATAATTTTTTCATAATTATCTTTCTATTTTTAAATCCGTTCATGAAAAACAATAAGAAAAACCATTAAAAAAATATGAATTTAAAGATTTTAAAAAAACAATCAAGAATTGAGAAAAGTATCTTGCCCAAGTGTTGCCTTGAAGTAATCACAGCTTCTCGTGGAACAAACGGCTTTCTTTGTGTTTGGTTTCTTTCAAATTTCGATGAAAAGCCAGATGATGGTTACCGATATTATAACCCATTGCCATTTCTTTCCCTGCCTGCCGCTTTCTCTCTTCTGCAAATTTAAACAATGTACAATAAGAGGGGTCAAGGTTATACCTTGCCGATAAAAAGGTGTGTTGCATTGAAGTTGGATAAACGGTGCTCCTGCTAACTGCATCGTGCATTTTTTTTTTTAAATAAACTATAATATTAACTTTGATAGGAATAACTTAATTGATCAGATATTAAAATTTTTAAAAAAAATTATTAGTTATAAAATTATAAATCTAAAAATTACTAATAATTTATATAATTATTAACTTTAAAATATATAGAAGTTGTCAAGTGATACATAAACTGACATAAATATTTATATTAATAAAAATAAAAATATAATATCAAATTACACCTCACTTTTTTTCATAGGCTACAACTTATTATTCTTAATTCACTATATCATTTTACTAAACAACCTATATTTTCTAAGTTATTTTAACTTTGTCAATAATCATGGAGGATGGCTTTTTTAAGACCTAGGTTGTCCTTCCAATGCTCAAGCCCTTTAAAATAATAATAATAAATAAATAAATATGGCATGTACTATATCCTAATATAAAAACAATAATAAGTGAAGGAATGACTCTTAAGTGATTTCATATAGAAGTGAAGCAGAAGATAATAAGAGATTGTAGCCTCATAAAGAGGGTGGTTAAAATTTAATTTTTTTATTTAAAATTATCTTTTTATATTTTTAAAAAGTGGAGGGTGGTTAAAATTTAATTTTTTTTATTTTTAAAAAGTTTTAATGGGCTGATATTAAAAATAAATTTTTTAAAAATAAAAAATATTATTTTTAATGATTCTTAAACAAAAAAATATTTTTAAAAACAACCACCATCACACTCTTAAATATCACTTAAATAATAAACATTACTAAATACAAAATAATATAAAATATAAATATTTACATGAACTCAAATTAATAATTAAACCTTTAAACCTCGCAAAAACCCCTAAATTATCCTGCTTGAACAAGTAACCCTTATGAAACACATACACTAAAATATCTCAAAACCTAAGATTTTTTTTCACACATTTAATACCATTAAAAAAATCTTAATAGAACAATTCTAATTTTATATTAAAAAATCACCAAATGAGGTTGTGCTTGACTCTAAATTCTCTCTCGAGCTACTAGATGTTAAATCTTATTTCATTCTAATTAAATTTTTATAAAATTTTGAGTTAATTTTTATATATGTTAATTAATTTAAATTTTTGTATATGTTAATTAATTTGAAAGGAACATAAATTTTAAAATAATTGTTATTCTCAATAACTGTTGCGTTGAAACTGTATAGCTTTCCTTGTGTTTTTTAAACATATATTATTTGCATAGAACTTTTATTAATATGTGTTAGAATGATAAAAGAACCAGACCAGAAGAGACTTGCTTGACAATTTTTTAGAGAATAGTTGCCACCGTATTGGAAAAGGTCTCAATGCTTTCCCTTTTCCTTAAAATGTAAAAACTGGTCAATTCCTTTTCTTAACAATGTCAATGTCTCTGGATTGTGATAATTCTTATTCTTATTCCTCTTACCCCTCTTTTTTTCACTTTACCTTTGGTTCACAATAAAATCTCGCATATTTTATAAGTTAGGGTTCCTTTATTCCTAAATTTCTTTATTTGTGCTAAATAAAGAACGCTTTAAATTGTATAGCAAAACCATGGTATCTTGCTCTCTCTCTCTCTCTCTCTCTCTCTCTCTCTCTCTCTCTCTCTCTCTCTCTCTCTCTCTCTCTCTCTCTCTCTCTCTCTCTCTCTCTCTCTCTCTCTCTCTCTCTCTCTCTCTCTCTCTCTCTCTCTCTCTCTCTCTCTCTC